TTTGTTTTGCGCTTTCTTCCTTTCTCCAAGTATTCTATACCTCGCTCCTTTATTCAAATCACTGTGGTGTCCTTTTTTTTCAGCTCGCGTCAACTCATAATGTGCGATCATCCCACCATCAAGGCTGCTGCTAAAGAGTTTCCATGGCAACATCTAGTCCGTGCAGCAACGGCCACTGCGGAGTGAGCAGGGAGGCAGAGACAGAGCGCACACATACAAACAAACGCACACAGACAGACACTGAGGCTTCGCAGCAGTCCCCCCCACACCCCCCTATTCCCCACGCAAGCAACCGTTGCTCATTTGCTTTAACAGCCAGTGGGAGTGTTAAAGTCATTATGGATCTCCCCAGTCAAAGTCAACGATCTTAAAGCAAGGTGATAACTCATTACAAACACGGTGTTAATGCACCTCACAGCACGCCAGCTGTTTCATAGACACCCTCGGTGACGCGGGAAGACGCACTCATGCATGTGTTGTAGCCATACATACATCGAAACAGAGTTCCAATAACACGGCCATTCCTGATGTGCATCCATACATACACATGCAGGACAGCTGTTAGCAACAAAAGAGCCTGTAAAAGCCAGATAGACGCACAGATTGCACTTCTGTAATTCCCACTTACCTATCAAACACAGCTTCAACACACAAGCATGCATGTAGCTGACTTTAAATCATATTTACTGAGACTACGAGGCATTCAGTTAGATGTCAGATAAAGTTACACATTGCAACCCCTGTGTTTTAAAGTGCAGTACATGGCACTAATACATATAATGTACGTAGAGTTATAGTTTACATATATGGTGCTATTTTCAGTGATTAGATGGATCTCTTGGCTGGTACCTCAGGTGTCTGACTGATGACCCCTTGATCAAAAAGTACCCAAGCGTTCGCTCCCTTGTCTCTATATTCTACAAATGTATTGAAAAACAACCCTTTGTGTATCTGTGCAAGCAAGAGAACACTGTCGTGAGGATTTGAATTACTCTGCAGATTTCCTCTTCTGTTGTTTATGACAAACTCCATCAAACTCTGTAGATTGTTCATGACGACATTGAGACAGTGGTGACCCACACTCACCCTCCGACGTACAAACACGCACACACACACTTTAATCAGCTACTCGCAGCTCTCCTTTAGTCAGTTTGTCATTGCTACAAACCAAATTGGCCTTTGGGGCTCGTCTCAGCTTGGATTGCTTGTGTATGCTTCATATTTCTATCTGTGTTGCTGTGTGTTTGCACATGCAGAAAAGGAGCTTTTCAGTAGGATTTGTTTCTTTTAGTGAGACAGCGACAGATCAATTAGAGAGGGAGGTGGCGTACTGCAGGAAACCTTTGACTTGACCCGTGTTTTTGTCAGGCAGCTCACAGTAGCCTTTCATCCTGCCTGTCAGCCACGGGACGGAGTCAAATGAAGACCAGTGGCAACCTCCTTTGTGTTTAAAATGATCGTCACCTTGCGGTTTTCCTTCTCAAGGGACCAAGTGATCGACAAATGCATTTAAGCATTAGAACTGCAATTACTCCGCAAGCGCATACTCCATATAAGCTACATGGTCTGGATTCTTGTCATATTCTTGTCATATTTAAAGGGCCCTCTAGTTTTTTTGTTTTTTTACCAAGTAAACATCTACATCCTCTTCACTTTCCTTTGCACCATCTGTCCAAACTCCGGCACCGTCTCATGATCGCAAAATGATGGCGCCAGGCATCACAGAATATCACCAAATGTCATTTGTATTCTACCATTGCAGACCTAAATCAGGCAGCTGAAGCAGAAAGAGATCATTTTAAGGTAAATGGGAATATTATTATTATGCTTCCATCTGTTCTTGTCGGTGCAAGAAGTCAGCGTTAGGGTTTAATCAGAGGGTCTATCAGGGAATCAGCTCATGCGTAACTGAAACAATCAATTAGGGCAGAATGACGGGATCAGCTCCACTTATAGCCATCAGGACACGACAGAGAGATTGACACGCAGAGTCAGTTAGGCTCCATAAACAGAGCAGAGAAGCACAAACTACAGCAAAGGCAGAGAGATGGAGAGCAACTTCCCTGTCTGCTAAGTATGTCTTTGCTTCTCTATATGTCTGCAAAACAAATGGGGGTTTGTTTGTTTTTTTCATGCTCTGAACCCGGTATATGGAACCGTAGCGTGTACAGACAGCAAGCTCATATTTTAAATGGCAGGGTGTTGGCTTGGCCGGTACCTCATAAGGTAGAGATCAAATGCACCATCTAAGGGTGTCTCCTCAGCAGGGACCCGGATTTTAATCTCATCCGCAAACCTTTCCATGTTGTCCCCTCTCTGGACCGTCCCTGTCTGTCTACAGCTGAAATAGAACAATTATATAACATGGTATTTATGATATATGATCTTTAGAGGATGATCCTATTCAGCAATTAAATGCAGGTAGAATTTGTTGCTATCACTGCTCGTAAAAGAATGATAATTACTGTTAAATGAAATACATTTTCTATTTGTTTGCCTCAAAGGTCAACAGTAAAACACATTTTTTAGAAATCTGACGCAAACTTTTTTTAATGTCTTATTATATTTGCAGTGCCCCTCAAAAACCTGTTGGACAAGACATTTGTGACAAGTAGGAACACGTGAGCAGAGATAAAAGACGGCAACTCCGAAGATAAAGCACGTCACTTTCGTTTGATAAAAATGAAAAGACATCAACTAAGACAGGACGTCTTTAGAAGTTGGCAAAATTCCAAGCAAGAAATGATGAAATAGTTTGACAAAACATTGTCAGGCTTTTTTGAAAGGTGGGACTGCTCTTATTCCCTCCCATTAGCCGCCGTGTAATCTGTCTGTCACAGTACGAGCGTGTTAGTGTTCGTCACGCTGTTTCTGTCAGAGTGGCAGATAAAAAGGTCAGTACTGTATGCAAGGCACAACACAGCTCTGGTACAACGGCTAGTTTTAACTTTCGCGAACATCATCAGCTGAGGACAATCTTGTACGAATGCTGTTGAAATTTAGATTAAACTCAGGTGCTGTTGAAAGAACTTAATGTTAACCGTTTTAACTTGCGTGTCAATATTGCACCCTGCATGCAACTACAGCCGTGTTTCCACTCACATATTTTTGATATGCGTTGATATGAAGTATAATTTCCATGCAGCTGCGATGTTAGTAAAAGTATTAAGTCCCTTGGCTTTTTCAGTTCACAACCGCTACTTCTTCTACTCTGTTTACTGGTGAGCTACAGCCAGGCCTAGTTTATACGGACAACTTCTGTCAAAACTACGCTGTACTAGAGTTTCATTGTTCCAAACGCGGCACTCCTCCTCAGCCATTCACTCACTCAAAGGGTGCGAGGCAGCGTCCTGCATTATACACTGCAATATTACAGTCCAAAAGTAACGCGTTGAAAGGAAAATAGTGACCACGGCTCTATTGAACAAGAACAGATGCTCTAATGATATGTGATTTCTACAGTTATTGCCTCTTCTACAAGCCAGTGGTGAGATAACATGGGCGTAGCGCAAATATACAACTACTGCTGAACACTATTGCAAACCATTTTAATTTGATTTTCTTTCGAGTCAATGTTGTACCTCATCTACACAAAGACTTTTCTAATCTCGGCACTAATCCAAGTTTATCCGAGCCAAACACTCCCACATCCGAGCCGGCAGTTTGTGGACATGATCTCGTGTTAGAATGACTGCCGGTAGAATTGCGGCAGAATAAGTACTTCTCGTCTCTTCTCTTCTCGTCTCCTTCTCTCCTTTTTTATTCTCCTCTCCTCCCTTTTAAATCTTTCACATCAAATGGCATTTTAACCATGTAGTTCCCCTGTCCCGACAGCTCAGTAGAGCCCAGGGAGCGATAAGAGAGTGTCCCTAAATGAGAGTGACGTTGTTGTGAAGCGACACGCTGAGCCTGTTTGGCTGATTTACATTGAAATGAGCCACCTCTTTATGGCTATTGTGGATGAAATTAATTATGTAAGCCGTCTGCAGGGCTCATTTGCATATCTTGATTGATTTCAGTCTATTCTGTGCATTCCGCATGAGCAAGATATTGATATGAGAGATGGGCCTGTCATTCACGTCTGTATGTTTTCTTTGAATTTGCAGGAGGGGTTTGTCCTGAGGAAGTTGTGCAGATAATTGCAAACATCTGTCTCTATGTACACATTTAAGTTTGCTTTGTCATGCAAGCAGTTGTGCACTTGACTTTGTTCATTTCTGCAGCAGCGTGGTGGCTTTGTCTTTCTATGAGGAATTATTTGCATCTGTTTGTTTTTTGTGTTAGCAGGTGAAGAATGTATTAGCGCACACACACACACACAAATTCCCACATTTCCTTTTTCCTCTTTGTCTCTCCCTTTCCCCATGGCTTCCCTCCTTCCATGCCAGATAGCTTGTTAAATATCCAGCTAACAGAGCTTCTATAAGCCTGTCTGTCTGTGTGTGTCTGCAGCTCTCCTCCAAACCAAAACGAACGACCCAGTTAAATAATAAACTGAAGGCTAACAGAGGGACCCCATCAACCCCCGAGCTGTATCCCCTCTGAAGCCATCAATCAGGCGACTAAAGCTAGGCCGCATAATGACATTGTGGCAGTGTACCCGCGCTGTGCTGCAAAACATATTAATGTTAGCCATAATGAGTTTGACAGCCCAATATGGTTGTCAGGGATCAGAGAGGATTTCCGCTTGCAAACACTGCCCTCCAAAGGAAGAGGGGCGCTATGGCAACTGCAGTAAAAGCTGCAGTGTGGTCTGGTTTTATGCAGTCGTGCAAATATTTGTCATTCTCTGTTGTTTGAAGCGAAGCTCAGACACCGTCCATTAACATAACCAATAGATAGGCCCACACTTGATTCATGCATCGACACATTCATCCATACACGCTGTAGCTTCAGTAAGTATCTAATAAAGGTTTGTAAACGTCAGTATGTGCACAGTGTGCTCTCGTACTGTGCACGCGTCTCTGCTGACGGGCCCGTTTCTCCTGGCTTGTCCCTAGAATCCTGGAGCTGCAGCAGAACGGTGACATGGACATCCTGAAACTCAAGTGGTGGCCCAAGGACAGCCCGTGCGACCTCTACAGCTCGCTGCAGACAAAGCAGCATGGCAACGCTCTGGACATCCATAGCTTCGCCGGCGTTTTCTGTGTGCTGGCAGCCGGCGTGGTGCTCTCCTGCCTCATTGCCATGGTGGAGAGCTGGTGGTCACGGAGGAAGGGATCCAGGGTCCCCTCCAAGGAGGTAGGGTGATGGATGGGTGACTGTGGGTACAGAGAGAAGTAGAGGGCATGTAGTATATCACAGCCAATTGTACAACAAGTAGATAAATAGGAAAACGGCACTCAGATAGAAAGAATAAGAGTCTACAGATGCCGGGTGTACAAATGAAGACTGGATGGATAATGGGTTAAATGATAGGTCTTACCAAGGTATAAAGTCTAGACTAGAAAATGTCATGCTAAATTGAAAAAAAAAGAGAAAGAAATCCATATTCTCAATCTGAATGCGAATGAGGTCTGCGGCTCACAGTGTCTGGAACCTCTGACAGGCCCCCATGTTCACAACTCCACTTCCCCTGAACTGAATTTGCACACAAGCAACAGCAGTAACGCTACGCTGAAAGCACAGGCTGGAGCTGTATTCATTGCTGGGATTTTGCACATTCCATCAAAAAGAAGCCCGGAGGTGCAGCATTTGATCTCCACTGAGTTAACTAGCATTGATCTTTTGCGTAGTCTTGTACATATAAATCCCTGCCTATGTGGAAAGGGAAGTAAAGGTCAAACAAGGCTAGAATGAGTTCAGAAGCTTTAGGAACATTGTTTTAATTTTCCCTTCTCACCCACAATCACAGTCTTAATAGACAGCAGCTCGCATCCTGCATCCCGTCCGGTTATTTTATCTTTATTGTTTGCTGGGTTAAGTTGTACCATTAAAATCATCAAAATGATTAGCAAAAGGGACATTATCTGCCAAGAGCTAATCTCATTTTCAGTACTTCTAAAGAGAGTTGATTTTTCACCCACCTCTCAGCCTCATTAGTCGATGTAAGTACATACTAATCCCAATTTAGATATCTAACTTAAACCATGATGCAATATTAAATGGCCTGTGTGACATATCCGAGACACACATAATCGCATTAAACCCCAATACTTACGACTGACTGCAGGACCGTGTTTACAATGCAACCACAAAATCCCTATTTCTCTCAGTCGTTACACCTGGATAGTGCGCGGTCACATTCCAGATCATATAGATTGGAACTGCTAAGTATTTACTCCATTGGTGCGATAATGTGTTCAGCATTGTGCTACTCTCCCACCTCTTTTTTAATGTTGCATTAATGCTATTTTGATAGCGTTGATTAAATAAAAATGAGGCACAGGTTAATAAAACATTATTTTTCTGAAAAGTTAATGTTTTGGAGAAACAATGAATAAAAGAAACAGTGGCTAAAAGTTGCATATGCTGTAAAAACCGCCCGAGGGCCTGTTTGAGTGCTGCAGAGTGAGAAACACTGACTCACAGTATTGGACATAGAAGTTTATGTCAACGTTCTTTCTGAGAAACTCCACCTTGCGAATTAGCAGCAGCGCCCTGTGAAATTTCCAGTCGGTTGATCACCTCAGCAGGGACATCATTTGATGCAATCAAAGGGACCGTGGCAACATTCTGGCAGAAACCCTGCAGTCTTGTTGTCATTTAGTAGCTTTGTTTGCTCCGCCGTAGACGAGACAGGCAACACACTCAAAGAAAAACACAAATGACTGTTTGTTGAGTTAAGGCGAGTTTCACCAGGTAGTTCAGTGTGCCATTTTTCGTGACCTCTTTATTGCAGCAACTGTTTTATCCCAAAGGGACTTTTCAAGAATTTGTGTCAGCTTTCATGTGAACGTTGAACGTCAGACCCACATTGTCACCTCTCATGCCCACTGCTTTGTTTACCAAAACCCAGAAGGGGAAACAGTCCAGCGAAATAACTTGCAGTAAAGTGAAGCAAATTTGATATGCAAAACACGAAGAACGGTTATAAATGTAATTATGAAGTAATATTTTCACTTTAGGTCTCGTTAATTGTTTGTGTGTCGGTCACACATTAGACTGCGGCATGAAGCAGTAGATATTAGTTTTGGCGGGAAATGTTTTTGCTATCAGGTAAATGACTTCAGCCATAAACAATTGCCTTTCCCTCATCTGAGGAATTTAATAAAAGCAGGTTAAAGTTAACTTGTTGATAACGATTTAAGAGAATTAATGTAGAACTGTTCTCTCACCTATGATTCAACTTCCAGTCCTTTAAACCATTTAACGTCAATATGAAGGCGGGTTGATATTAGAAGGTATAACTATTGTTGCCTGGTTACCAAAATGGGCACGATGGTTTAAGTGAACATTTCTGTTTGATTCTGACTACCAGAAACCAGTTAGAGAAGCCTGGCTTATCTCTGTAATCTGTGGTGTCAGGCTGATTTAAAGTTCCAGCAAGAATAAATGAGAAAAGTTGACAAAATATGCTAATAAAAAATTGTGGCACTACCCAGGATGACTTAGTGTCAGATCAGGTTACTTTTCATGATAAAAGGCCAATAACACCATTCATCTGGAAAGTAATTTAAAAGGAAATTTTAATAACGAAATTCCATTTAGCAGCTGTCCCAAATAATCAAAGGAACAGCTCTTGGTCAAACATTGGCAAATTGTCACTCATTATTTCATCACTGCGGTTTCTGGCTTTTGGACAGGATCTGTGCCGCTCGTAAGACGTCATGAATTCGACTTGGCGGTGACCACCTTTGACGTGAAAGACACGAAATAAAACTTCAGACTAATTTAAATATGGGGGAGTTGTTGCTGTCAAGTAGGTGGTTTGTGACTTGACTGCAGCTGTGATCACTGCAGTGTGCACCAGCTTGTTTGAGAAACCCATCGCTCTGCTTTGCTTACCGCAAACCCCCTGCAATGGCCCCCAAATGATCAACAGTTCACGTGATCAAATGAAGCTAAAACTCGCACGTGGTGTGAGAGGATTCGTACAATTCTATGAATGCAAAGGATGGAGCCATAAAGCTGCAGGCCAAGTCCTCCCATCTCAGTCAATTTGCTGTGTTCATGTTCCCCATGCATATGGCATGATGCACCACTAAAGTGGCAATAAACTGCAGTGATAATCGAGCAGGGAGCTCAACAGCAGGTCGACTGCCGTTCAATCTGCTTAAACTCAATCTAGTGTATTTCTATTGCTGTCATCATTTATTTCTCTACCATCTAATTGCTTCGGGTTTCAGGTTTTGCAATTCTATGTTGCGACATTGGCAACCAGCTGACTACCAATATCCTTTTGTTTTGTACCCGGCAGCAATATTTTTTCCGTTGGCACGCACGCACACACTCACACCAACAGATACAGCGACAGATGTGCCACGTCTTCCCTTTACTTCCAGCCCCCTGCTCAGCTACAAGCTATAATCTGTCGTGTAGTCCTGTCCGCCAAACCAGCAGCCTCAAACACATCAAACTGCTGGACAGGCAAAAGGTCACGTCGAGCACACCGTGTGCTTGAGCTGCAACACACAGAAACACATTCGCCCCCCTGCCGTCTTCATTAGCCACTAAGAGCAGCCATTGGAATCAGCCCCTGACTGAGCGCAGGAGTTTAGGAGCAGCAGTGAATGCGAGGGACAGCAGGGATTTAACTGGCGATAGTTTTTAATTCCCTTTGTAGTTGTTGAGGATTTGCATATGAAAGCATCATCCAGTAACCGTGTAAATCCCTGTAGTAGTTGTTGTTATTACTGTTCTTATTAATGCCCAGGTCACATACAGCGGATAAGGTGAGCTGTATGTGCATTATAATGCAATTAGTGTTACTATTAGTAGTATACTGCCAAATTAAACAGCAATAAAGTATATACAGTAGTGTATATAGATTTGAAGCTTTTTTGTCCTTGGGGCGGGGAGTAAGATCTGATTTGTGTGTAAATCAAAACATCTGGATTACAGATGGAAAAAGCCATATAACAACCAATGTAAGATAAAGTAATAGTAATCATTAGAATAGCCTCTTTGTGCTGCCATGGTGAAAATGAAGGCGGCTCGGTCAGCCATGATTGTTTTTGATAGTTGACCCTTGACATTTATCCAAAGCAATGACCTATTGATTGCCTTTGCTTTGGCTCAAGGTTTAGCTCTGAGTAACCACTGAACCTCAAGGGTCAGTGTGCTTCAAACAAAGCTTGAGTGGGTTCTTCAAACAAAAGTCTGATGATCTGCACCCATTTCTTTGCGATTGCCGATCCCTTTGCGTTGCACCAAACTCGGCTAAAAAGTTCTACAAATTAGTTTTGTTTCAAGCATCCCTCGGCCTTAAGAATGACAAAATGTCTGCAAAGGCAACTGCACTTTCAAATACAACACAAAACAGTCATCCGAGTTTTCGTTTGGCTGAAATATTATTTTGCATTTCTTTCTAAATTGATCCTGTCGTAACATGTATAAAAACTGTGGGAATACCGTACTCAGATCTGAAATCACCATCTGTGCAGAATGTTTCCAAATGGGCAACCAGCTGAAAAGAGAGTTGCTGAGAACAGAAGAAGAGAAAGTCAAGCTGTGACCACTGCAGCATGTCCTGACTCAGTGGAGGAAGGAAGACACATTTAAGTCAACTTCAAAGCAGCTAATTAGATAAGTTGCACATGTTGCGTTATATATCGACGGGGGGAAACTCCCCTGCTTGCAATTTGGCCTCAGTCATGGCCAGTGGAGTAAGTCTTGTGTGTTTAATGTCATCCAAGCTCCTAAAGTTAAATTATTAATAAAGTGAAGCAAACCGTAAAGCTTGTAATTAACTTCATTAGACGCCTGACTCTCTGTCAGTTCAAATCAGGAACTCTGTCTTGCTGTCACAGCAAATGCTATCACCACTTGAGACCATCACACAGCCAACGGCCCGCAGCCCCCCGCCGCATTTCTGTGAGCTTCAAATAAAATTGGAAAGCCTGGTGACCCAGTCTTTATGCGCAGAAAACTTGGCTTAGTAAAAATACACTGGCACTGGGGGTATGAATTTGGAGTGCAGACTTGGCATGAGCAGTCTGCTTGCAATGACCCACCCTAAAGCAGTTTGTTAAACCAGTTCCATTCTCTCTCTTGTGGTCAGCTCTGGCGCGAGGTCAAACGCAAACAGGGTCGCACACACTGCGTTGCTGGAATTGGCTAGCTGGCTCGTTGGAGTGCTTATATACAGATTGAAATGTCGTGGTGCTGAAATAAATGGAGTGCTTTGATGAAAAATCCAAGTGGGTAAAAAAGAAAGAGGTTCTGTCTTGTCGGACCGATCGGGCCGCCATCAGTGTGAACAACGTTTTGCAGGGACCTTTGCACGCTGCCCCCGTCCGCACCACAAAACACGCTTTACTGTGTCAAAAAGGCATATGACCGGCTTACCTTTTAGACAATTAGAGCTGGTATCAACCACATCGCACCTTTCCATGCATGCACACGAGTCATCATTGCCTAACGTTTAGCTCAACCTCTTCCATCTTGTCTTACCATTAAGCATGATATACAGTTTGCTTTTTCCATGCTTCATAAGGTGGTTTTCAGCTCATGTTCTCAGTGACACAGACTTCACTTCAGATGTATGCAGTTCCCTTACAATCCGTGAAAGCCGGCACAAATCCTGACTATAGGTTCATCCGTCAGATTGTACGGCCAAAAACAGCATCCGACCTGCCACTCACAAGCTCACATGCTTCCTGCATACATGGAAACCCACAATCCACGGTTCAAAGTGTTTGTGTCTCTGTGTTTCTTTTGCATACTAAAACACACCTAATGCCTCACTGCACATGTGTGTACCTGGCTTTATTGCCGTTGTGCTGTGGTAGCTGCATTTGACTACTGTATGTCTATGTCAGTGATTGTCTTTGTGCTAAGTGTTTGTGGAACGGCTGACATTATTAGATCACTATTATCTATGATCCTGCTTCTCACTGTAAACAGTTTGCTTGTGAGTTTTTTACCATGTTTATTCACTCACAAACGTAAAAAACGCTCATCTCCACAGAGATGGCTAAGGTCTTTCACCAAAGGTGGGTCATAGTTTAGCTCATTTGACAAACATATGCACAGGAACTGTCTACGGGATCACTGCTAATTTGTGGCGCCCACAAGGTTATTATATCTCAGCATGCATTATTCCCAAGATTTCGGAAATGGATAATCCTCCGCAGTATGGCTACTCTTTTAAAACATCTGAACTCATTTAGGGTGGGTACCTGGGTGGGTGACATCTGGGCATGCTTGTAATTAAAGTGCTGTATATGGACAAATGGATCGAGGTGCTCTCAACACCGCTCCCGTCTTGATCCTATCAACAAACTATTTCCAGATGAGTGTCTGTCAACCATTTCATTTATAAATCGGCGACTGTATTGCTTTAACCTTTTTGGCTGATATATAAATATATATATATGTTCTGCGAGAGGTCTGTATGAAAGAGTTCTGTCATTGGAAAACTACATCCCCTAAAGGTTAAAACTGAAGGTAATTATAATGTTGCATTTTGACAAGAATAGAAAAAAATGTTTATTGTCAGAACTCTTCCATAATGGTGACATCTGTGGTTTTGATACTGTCTGATGTTTCATATAATCCATGTAGATTTAGCATGAGAAGAGCGGGCACTGCCATGTGTATCACCCTCTTTGGTACACCTAAAACAGTTGACCTCTTCCCCTGGAAGTGTGTGGTTTTGATGGAAATTGCCAGCCTACTCGTTCTAACTCTACGAAATGATCTTTGTCACTGTGACTCAAAGCTCTCATGTTTCCTTTTTGTTTTGTTTTCGTAGATAAGTACTTTGTGTTGAGGGCTGTAGCAGGCGAGGGGGAAAGAGGGAGAGAGAGACAATACAAAATGCCATTTAAACATCTCCCCTTTCCAGGTATATAACGACTGTTTGAATGTCTCTCTGAGGACATGAACACAGAACGACCTGCTTAACTGTGTGTGCTGACTGACTGTCGTGTCTTTCTTCTCGCTCACCCCCCCACCCGTCTGTCCCTCCAATTGACTTCTCACTCTCTCTCTCTCTCTCCCACCTTATGATCCTTCCATCTGCCTGATCTTGTCTTTGGCTCATCCCCTCTCTGTCTCTGCCCGTCTGCCGATGGTCTGCCTGTGTGTCTATTTGGCTTCTTTTTTTTAAAATATCTGCTTCTTTTGATCTTCCCACTCGATTTGCATGCACTCGCACACCAAAACATTGCAACGAATTACTCCGCATCCCTTTCCCATCAACTTGTCTCTCCTCCCGCCTTCTGGCTCTCTCTCGCACACACACACACACGCATGCATGTCATACGGTCACACCAGACGCAGGCAGACGGCCCATCTGCAAGGCAAGCTGCTGATCCTTGCCCTCACAACCCCAACGAGCACCCACTTGCCCTGGGCGGTCAGACCCAGAACCAGAACCCCAACACCGCCAACACCACCGCCCCCACCTCGACCCATTACCAGCCCCCGGCATGCTGCGACATCCCCTGTGCCCTGATTGTGCAGCACTCCTACGAACCCACCAACCCCTCCAAGCACCCTCCAAAAATGAGAATGACCACCTTCACCACCTCACCTCCCACCCCAAGGTTATACATACAATAGAAGATGTAGATAATAATATGTTGGGTAGTAAAGACAGATGCTGTTAGAAATGTGACGATAGATGAATGGTATTTTGCTAAGAGGGATGATGGACATCAAGGAGCAGGGTTCAAACGGTGGTCTTCACAGTATAACAATGCTTTCTGCTCGATGCAAATCTACCTCTTTGCAAAACGTTGTTGATATACCTGGCATGTTGCCAGTTGATCACATGTGCAATGATGCCTTCCTGCCGTTAGAGGGCGATGTCTCTCTATCTAGAAGCAAATAGAGCAGCATCTTCCTCCAGGCGTTAAAGTTACTAAAGTTATGTTCTGTGTATATGCAAGGAAAGGCCTTCAATTAAGTCTTAAAAAAAAGTTTTTTTTACAAAACCTCTTAATACAAAATAGAGCCAAATATATATTTTGCTGTGTGAACTTGGCTTTGAGGTTTAAAAACAGGCCTTTGCATTACACTGTAAACTACAGATTTATATTTAAATACATCTCAGACATTAATGTCTGAAATTAATGGGTGATTCCATGTTGACTATTCTGTAATATTACAGTGAGCGTAGCGGGAAAAACCTTCCTCCACTGTAACAAAAGTGCAAACAGGTCCTACGACCTTTCTACTCTTCCTCCACTCGGCCCCTTTTCGATCACTCCTCGTAGATCCCCATCGGTGTCTCCTCGCTGACAGCAGACCGGCCATTTGCGATTCACTCTTCTCTTTCACTTCCCTTCATCTCTTTGGGACCAACTTTAACCGTCGGACATCCCCTCCCTCAAACGCTCAGTGTGTGTATGATGGAGTCACGACAAGCACTAGCGCCCCCCACCTCCCGTCCTCTCCTCCCTCCCACTGTACCTTCTTTAGATGGAAACCGTGGGGCACCACTGCAGGTCCCCCTCTGTCCATGAACTACACACAGTAGGTCCAGAGCCCCCTCCAGATCCAAAGGACACTCAGGTAACTCTGTCTTTACCCGCAGTGATGTGATTCCTCTCCTCACACCCTGTTTGAATTTTCCCAAACAGCGATTCCGTGAAGTGTGAGAGGAGACACCTCAAACGATACCCCCCCCCCTCTACCCCACTGCCTACCTCTGAGAACCTCACCCTCCATAAAGACCAGGACAGCACATTGCCACACGTGCTCGGACAATGTGAACGTTTTATTCGTTTTGGAAACTCTCTCCCGCACCTAACAACCTTTCAGCTAAGCCTTTCTCCTCTCTGTGTCCGCACTTCATTCATTGCTCCCTCACACCACTGTCCCCGTCCAGTAAAAGCATGACACACATCTCACTGAGTGTTGTCATCTTTAGAATGTATAAGACTGTGTAAGTTACTTAAAGGTGATTATAGTGATTATAAGTTTCATTTAACATACGCTTATAAGTTATAAGAGATAACGTTTGTTCTTTGTCTTAAGATCGATTACAATTTAACTGTTTAAGATTGTTTAATTGAAGTTAATCTACATCTTTTTATGCCGTTGATTAAGAAGCCATATTCGTTGCCAATAAAAGAAAAAAACATTCACTTGAAAATGAGATGTCAGTCTCAATGTGAATTCTTTGGCATCATGGCCAGAATGCCATGGTGACAAAAAGCAGGACAAATATCGCTGAGCATTTGAACAGCGTCCAATTGAAGTTGTATTTGCAGTGTAATATTACAATGAGGACATTAGACCAAGCCCTCTGGATTCTCGGAGCACAACATATGTTGACGTTGGGATTTTCTGTGTGTATTCCAGATTATTTGCCCCAAAGTCCTTGTAGAAGTGTATGCACTGTATGTTTCTCTCGTTTGATTTCCTGACCACAGCTCAGAGTGTGCTTCTCTTCCCTCCATCCCCCCCTCTTCTCCTTTTGCTCTCCACGCTTCCTGTCACATCCATGTTTACCTGTGACCACCAAACTGGTTTTCATTACATTTACGTTGTCTCCCTCCTTCGCTATTGCAATTCCCTCAACTTAACCTCATTTTTGATTGTGCCAAAACGTTTCTTTGGCCACATGCATGCCAACTCGCCATCATCATTTTATCCTGCTCTTATCCTGCTTTCACTTGTATTAACCATTTATCCTGAATGGATGGATGGATGACATCCCTTTTGCTGATGATGATTGAAAAAAAAATACACCTCATACTGGCCTATTTGAAAAAAAAAACCTCTCTGAATGTTCTCTGTTCGGTTTCCTTCGCTGTTCTCTTCATTTCCTTACTCCTCTTTTCGCTCCTAATTCTTTACTTTCTCTCCTTTTCTTCCTTTATCTTCCCTCTCATCCTCTCCTTCTTACCTTCCCCATTTCCCATTTCCTTCATTTTCAACATCTTCTCTCCAACAAAATAATCTTTCCAAATGGCCTCCCTCACATTGAACCCTCTTCCCTTCTACCATTTCCCGTCACTGCTTCCTCCTCCCCGTTTTTCTTCAATGCCCCCCCCCCCCAACCTCTCCCACCTGCAGGACGATAAGGAGATCGACCTGGAACACCTACACCGCCGGGTTAACAGCCTGTGCACCGATGATGAAAGCCCCCACAAGCAGTTCTCCACCTCTTCCGTCGATTTAACGCCCCTCGACATGGACGCGCTGCCTGCCGCGCGCCAAGCACTCGAGCAGATCAGCGACTTCCGCAACACCCACATAACCACCACCACCTTCATCCCCGAGCAGATCCAGACCCTCAGCCGCAGCCTGTCGGCCAAAGCCGCTGCTGGCTTCTCCGCTGGTTTCGGTAGCGGCGGCGGGGGCGTCCTGCAGGACCACCGGACTGGCGGGGTGGGCCCTTTCAGGCAGAGGGCCCCCAACGGTGGCTTCTTTCGCAGCCCCATTAAAACAATGTCCTCCATCCCCTACCAGCCCACAGGTCCAGGACCCAACTTTGGATATGGCAATGATCCAGACAGGGGCACTTCTATATGAGGAGCTGCTTAGGAGACGAGTGGTTCAGGAGGAAGAGGAGGAAGAGGAGAAGGAGCCGAAGGAGGCATGGTGGTTAGGGTTGGTCTAAGGGTTGGTAAAACAAATACATTATGGCTAAGCTAGAGGTCAGAGGATAGAAATGTGTACATAGGAATGTTTGTGTTTTCAGTTTCTGCTCGGGTGTTTCCAGGGGTGTCCGTTTCGTTTGTAGAGAAGACGAGGGAGGTGGAGTTCTATGGGGGCCGTTGCTTGTCTTTGTGAAACCCGTGCTGGTGAGGTGCAAAAGGGGAAGAGTTGGTTTGAATCTTTGCTTCATTGTTGTTGTTCTTGTGATTGTTTTGGCGATTATTTTAGGGGGAAATGTGTGAAAGGGGATCGGTTTTTTTGGTTTCTTTATTGCTTCTGTTTTGTGATGTGAGGACCGCCTCATGTGACGGAGATCTGCTGAAATTACCTGACTATTATTATCTCAGCCCCACCTCGGAGGGTTTAATTTATGCTGGTCCGACCACAGGAAATGCATCTATAGTGGTGTAAGCTCCTGGTCACCCATTGGTGGGTGACTGGTTGTGTTGTTAGCTATTAAACAACTCCAAGGGGCTCATGCTAAGCAATTATTGAATTGTTTTTCTTTTTTACCAAGCCGTATATAGCAGTAGTTTTGTCCATAGCCCTGAGAATACTTAGTTTTGAAAAGGCCCACATCTCAGTAGACAATCCACTTCTCCACTCCTACTCTGCCTTTTCGCTCTGCAGGAGTCCATCTGGTGTGGTTTCACCAGTACCCGGGGATCTAAATGTGTTACGGGGTCCACGCAGTTGCCTGACTTGACCTAAGACTGGACACACGCCGACCCCATCACGGTGCATCGGTCTGTAAACTGAGGACTAAATCAACAGCTGAAACGCAAGGACAGTGCAACAGTATGACACTGAAACGCCGGTGTGGTGCGTCGATCTTAAACAATTTCTGCCATTGTGGTGCATCTCCTTGAAACGGTTTTCGCCACTTTGATGCACATTTAGGACCCTCCGTCAACCCCACTGCACTGTACCAGTGCCCACAGACCTGTAAGTGATTGTATGTAGATCTGACCTTGTCTTTTCTCACCTGTACTGTGCTATCGGCTTTTCAAGTCAAGGTGAGATCCTCTAGTCAGACTCTCAGAAGGATAGTAAAAGGGATGACACAAAAAAGAAATCAACTTAATGGAAGGAAAAAAAACATAAGACATGCCAAAAGACTTCAAAGGCTTATGCCTAGTATATGTCTTTTATTAAATTTTGTTTTTGAAAAAAAAAAAAGATTTTATTGCGTGGAATGTGTTTTTGTCAGGAAGTACAAAAAAAATAACATTGTTCTGAGCTGTCAACTTGTTTCTTACTCTCAGCCAACTTAGAAAAACTGCTAAATGAGTGCTGTAGTATCTGGTTTTGCATTATTAAGTCATTCAAACCTTCACTTTGGTATTTTTTTCTTTTGTTTTGCTTCATTAAAGCGCTGCCATAGCTCGAGTGCTTAGAACATATCGCTCATTCTGGTGGCCATGTCATGTTCGACTTCATTACTCACTTCTTATCAGGTTCAAGTGGTGAAATGGTTGATTTTGTGTTGAGGAGAAGCCATTGCAACAGCATCTTCGGTACAGGCCTTATATCTCAACTGGCTAGCTGCACCCTTCCAGCTTCCAGTCAAACCCAAAACATCACCGCACACTGGAAACAGTTTAGAGGAGTGAATCAGTTTTGCTTCTTGGGGTCACTGGAATGTCACGAAGAGTCAACGGCCATTGGAACCCGATGGCTGCCTTTTATCGAGACAAGTCCGGTACATAATTCTATTTCATATCTGTAATGTTAAGGGTACTGTTTATATAACTTTTTGTTTTTGTTTTTGTTTTTTAAGTGCCAATTATTCAAAGAAGACCATTGTGGTGCATTTTGGGGCCGGGGGATGAGAACGATGCATTAAGAGCATTAAAGGAATACTTCATGGATTAGGAGCCGGGGTGGTAAAATGGAACCAAATCTTTTTCACTAACACTGTATTAATAATTGATAATGTTAGTTGTTTAGAACAAGTTTTCAGTTTGTTATCTTTAAGAACTAAAACCGCAAAATGTTGTGCGTAGAGAACTCCGTCAAGCCACAGTGTTTTGAAGCAAGCATTCTTAGGCATTATTTTCTTATATTAGGCTACAGTATGGCTATTGAATGACATTTAGGACACAGACATTTAAAAGGATTTATTTAGTATAAATGAAAGAGACATTATAAAAATGTATATTTTACATGTTGATGCTATTTTTGTTTAACAAAAAGAAGAGTATATCATAATGAGCTTTAGCGTTGAGTTTATAAGTCACATGGATGCGTTTGGGTTTTCTTTGTTTGCCCATGTTCAACATCAACACAAATTATTTTATTTTCTCATGTCATCCTGAATTCCTTTTGTATTATTTGCTGGCTAAATAACAAAAAGTAGCAAGTTGATTAAAAAGAAAGCATGCACAAACTTGCTCTTGCTGTTAACATTTTTTATTTTATTCATAGAACTACAGGATTTACTTGATAATTTTCAAAACTTTATGATGTACAGTATTTAATATAGGCCTATTTTGTTGTATGTGTTGCATATTATTCAAAAACTGAACAAACTGGGGCCTCTGTTACAAGTGGCAAAGCTTTCTGTGTATAATTTGTCTAATAAACAGGTTTTCTACAGTGGGATTGTATTTGTTGTTTTTGGTGATCTATAGGCCATTGAAGTGATGACTTTCAGAAAAACACCCCTCCCCTCACTGTGCTGTTTTCTCTCATGCTAAAAGTGTGTTCTTTCGCTCCAAATGTCTGGAAACTCATTCTAAAGATAGAGGCTCCTCACTTTTTCATAACTGCACTATTTGATACATAACTGTCAGTTTATTCATTTTGGTCAACACATCTGCCTTTTTTTTTAAATGTCAGTGTCTTTCCACCTATCTGGCACCTCTGATTGATTGCTTTATGTCTGAGAAGAATTCATTTAAAGGAGCCTAATCTGAAATTGAGTGCATTTTCATTACCTCTCAGCAGCTCTTCACATGAGTCAACAGCTCACAGTTAATAGGTTGCACAGTACAGCAAACGTGCTGACGGAGCTCGCAGAGTCTCGATCAGAAGGGTGGACGCACGCTCCCATGATGTCGCTGTGAGTTTGGATCGTAACCTCCATGTGAGGTTAGTGCTGATCGGCGACCTTGAACCAATGGGGCACGCTCGCATGCAGGAGCATGCATGAGGCAGAGGTGAAGTAGAAAGTCGCTTCATTCTCTTCTCAGGTAAACTTTACTCTGCTTTATTTTTTGTTCTTTGATACTACGTTAATTCTCTGACTGTCGTAGATGCTCCTTTATGTTCTGAACCTGTACTACTCACTAACCAACCGTGTTCTTTGTTTGGGGGGGTTGAGGGGGATTGTGCAGGTTTGTTTCTTTGCTTGATTGTTAAGAACCAATTGATTCCATCCCTTGTAGCTTCAAATTATCAAATACAGTTAAGGTGGAAAAAATGTTGTGGGAGGGATAGGAAAAATATGAATGAAAATATTTTTAAAAGGGTTTGGTGATCTGAGATAATTTAATGTGTGGAAAGAATTTTGAATAGGAGCTAAGCTTTTGTGCCTTTCACTTCAAATAGGGCTTCACTTCAAAGGACCGTGCACTGCTGTTAACAGCTGGATAGACACTCTGCTGAGGACAACTGCTGTCAAGTTCAATGAAGCACTACATTGTAGTTCTCCACGAGGGAAAGCAGTATTTAGCCCTCAGAGCTTACTGACCCAATACTTAAAGTACTTAAAGACATGATGATGATGATAATCATCGTATTTCCTCCCTATGTTGAGTAAACATACAAAGTTCTTATGCTCTCTGTTTTGTCAGTGCATATTAAATAATACGGACAATCTGTATTCTTTAATGTTATTCATTTAATTTTAGTTGTGTTCCTATTTTATTACTGCTTTTGGATCTTGCTTGTCTCTGTGCACTTTACCTCCTTTGCTGTAATCCTGTTTCAGGAGACCAGCAACACTTAATTATAAGTGTTTTAATTATATATCATGCTTTGTGTTTTTTTTAACACCTGCAGCATGGTTGCAGGTGATTGGGATAATGGTATGTTCTATATAGACTGTAATACTTTTTAAAATGTATTAAATATTTGATGTATATATTTTGTCTATATCGTGACATAGTAGTAAAAATTGTAAATATTGTTTATTTATAGTTTTGCAGGTGTTGTCAAACTAAAGATGACCACAGATTTTCCTTGGCGTGGCTCATTGTACTCCTTAAAAATACTGTTATATTTCAGCACCGCGTAAAAAACCTCACCGCGTATTTTGGAGGGAGCTTTTTAGCAAAGGCCACAATAAAGTGGATAAATCCCTGCGCGGCTCCCCTCACTCCGGGCTCGTGCCCGGCGCGCCCCCGTCTCCCAGGAGACGGGAATGAGAAGCGGCAGCACGCAGACTCCTCTCACGCACTGGAATGGGAGCCTCCCTCCACTGCCCCCCACCCCCACCAAAGGAGCCCCCCAGGCGTGACCAATGGAACATAGAGTCTCCATTGTGGCCGTGACACTTTAATAATCGCAAACTACAATATCCAACCTGTCGGTAGCTTCAGGAGCCCGGCCCGGCGCGTTGGATGGGGGGCTTGTAGGTGGGAAGAGGGGGCGAACGCTCGGCGCCAGACCTCTAACCCGCGAGCCGTCCCCGAGATGAATACATGAATAAAACATAGAAAAGATTGATGTTGGGTTATCTCTTAAAATCATGAGATTTTTTTTGTTCACAAAAACGGTGTTTTCTCTCACCATCTCCGGCAAGTTTCCTCGTTTTAGAACAAAAAACATTATTTCAAACGATTCTTTACAACAAAAAAAAGATGTACCAAAGTTGTGAATATTAACTACAATAATATACGGACCTGCGGCTTGGTGTCATTTTCGTTTGGAATGGTTTGATACGGTCGTGAAAAGTTGTGCTGTGGGCTAACAGGCCATTATGCGTCAAACATCGGCAGTTTATGGTGGTTTATGTTCATTTTCCAGATTATTCTCAGTTTGTATCTCAGTAAGCAAGGTGTGATCAGTAGACTGCAGGTGGATAAAACACAAAATAAACGTTGCACCAATGGAAGATATTTAAATAGCTAATAATTTGTCTGAACCACTTGACAATGTCAACGTTACTTCTTACACTTTGCTTTTTGTAAATCGCAGATTGATATTAGAAATAAATAATGTATTGAATGTACAGCACGTCGTGCTTTGAGTTCATTTGCGTCTTTCTCTCTTTCCCTCCTGTGTGCGCGTGTGTGCGTGCGTGCCCACGCGCGCGCGCTTCTTCCAGTTTCACTCGTGCGCACTGCTCGTGTCAGTGCGGAAACAGTGTGCAGCGCCGGACCCCTGCTCATGTTTCCGATCCCTGTGAAGCCCTTTTTACGGAAAGGGCGTTCCTAGAGCTGGATCAAAAGCTTTTGGACTCGCTACAAAAGAAAAATGGAAACTGGAGATGATCTTAGCATGAATGAATTGACAATGAGCTCGCGAGCCCCAGGAGCCGCAACTCTTTTTTTTGGTTGACTTTTGGTGACGCGTTACTGATGCAAAAGGCCCACGCGTCTTCTTATTGCATTGCCCGTTACGCTCCCGTCACCCGGCTCTTTTCGTCCCCTGCATTTTGTGTCACCGCAGTTGTGTTGTGCATTCTAAAAAGAACCATGTGAGAAAAGTGTGACAAAGTTATGTGCTGCACCTTAGTCTCTCTGTCAAATCAAACGCTGCATGTGACATTCTGTCATATAAGAGTCCCGTCCCAGCAGCGGACGTCTCCCCAGTGTGCACGCGCACCCACGAGCAACAGCTCGTCCTGTGGGAGGTTCCCCTTACCTCCCTTTGCGTTCAACACTGCTTAAGTTGTTACGTTATCATAAACAGTCTGGCTTCGGGGGGCCGTAATCACCTCTCTCGGGCCTTCGCCGAGGCTTCTCATTGGACGCCAACACGCGACCGGCGCGAGGAGGGGGGCTGCCAGGCGCGTGCCGCTTTTTAAACCGACGCAGCGCCTTGAGACACGCCAGAGAAGGAGTCATATTCACACAGCGCGACATCCCCGCGGTGCGTGCGTCCGAGGAGAAAAAAAACAACCCAAATCCCACATTGTAAAGTCGGTTCAACTTTGCCCATCTTTTGGGGTTGTTGTTTTGTTTTTTAATTCGGAAACATGGATGTCCGAAGTGTGGGAGACTGGAGCAGAAGCGAGGTGGCGGACCTCAACTCGCGGCTGCAGAGCCCCGGGTCGGTGGAGAGGGGGGGGCAGCAGCACCTGCAGCAGCACCTCGCGGAGTCCCGCTACGAGCCTGCGCTGACGCTCGTGGACAGCGGCAGCGACCCACGCGCCTGGCTGGCTCCGGCGCAGCCTTCTGGCACCTGCGCGCCACACGCCCGCTCACCCGACCGCCTGCGGCACTCGCCCTGCCCGAGCACCGGCTCCTTCCAAGGTGAGAAAAGCCGCGTGCCACTGTCATTGTGAACAACGTCTCAAAGCGACAGGTTTACAGGTGCGTCCTTGTCCTGTGGTTTGCACCTGAAGGTCTCACGTAGATAGGAGGAGCTCAGGTGCAACCTTGGTTTTGTAATACACACACTGCTAGGCGTTTGATAAAAACAAAAACATACAGAGTGTTTACTATATATTTATTATATGTGTGTGGTGCAACCAGACCGGCTCATCACACGCGTGCTTTCCTTTCCGCAGAGAGCGGTTCCCCGGAGTCCTCGGGCCACCCCAGCCCTCTCAGCTACAGAATAACTGCCAAGAGCCCCTCCTCCTCTTCTTCTTCCTCTTCTTCGCTCAAAGTCAGGGACTTGTGCCGTCTTCAAGGCACGGCCAGCTGTTCCGACGAGGAGACATCCACGAGACAGAGAGCCCAGTCCAGCAGACCGGTCCACGTAGTCCACAAGCAGAGGCGCGTAGCCGCCAACGCGCGCGAAAGGAGGCGGATGCACGGGCTCAACTACGCGTTCGACGAGTTGCGCAGCGTCATCCCGGCGCTGGACAACGACAAGAAGCTCTCCAAATATGAAACTTTGCAGATGGCGCAGATTTACATCAATGCCCTGGCTGATCTGCTCCAAGCTCCGTCCCCAACCTCCACCTCCACCAGCGCCACCAGCAGCAGCAGCAGCAGCGGCAGCAGCGGCAGCAGCAGTACCGACGTCTCAAACAATAAAAACAACTCGCCAAAGTGTGACATTACGCTTCCATCCGCCGTTGGTTTTGACGGGGCGAAGAACAGGGCTCCCCCGTCTCCGGGCACCTGTAGGACCGCGGCTGCTGGGCCGGTCTCGGGTGGGGGGCTACCTGTTCACATCAGCGGGATGCCCTTCCACCCCTCCTTCGACGACGGGTCCTTTTCCGCCATGGTCGAAGAAGCAATGCGGTCGGCCTCGCCTCCTCCTTCCGCTCGGGGAAGCAACTCGCTCGCACCGGTCGGGGGTGGCGGGAAGGAGTCTCCCCGGAGCGACGGGGAGTTTTCCCCGCACTCCCACTTCAGTGACTCGGATGAAATGGCGATGGAGCTCCACTCGAGTGAAGAGGATGACTTCTCGGAGCTCAAGCTGCGCAGCCGCCATCACCACACGGTTGCTTTCTGAATGATGATTCAAAAATAAAATAAAAAATAAAAAACGACTTTGTTGAAAGTTCAAGGATGATAAAGTAATGGCCGATAACCGTGTCAACATGCCGTTAAGATGGTGCAAATGTCATTTTAACAATACGTTTATTTTAATGACTTGTTACATAGTATAACAGCTATTTTTCGTGTGAGATAGACCTAATTCGGTTCTGCCAATAGATGTATTAGCCTATAATTCCCAGTTTCCATGGAGACGCGGCTGGAAGACCCCTCTGCCATGTCGCGTGCAGCACTGCCATGGGTATTCCCCGCGTCACTCCGACCAAAAGAGCTGTCTTACACTAAATAGTACCTTTTTGGGACCATTGCTTGTATTTGATGATGTAAAAAAAAAGTTTTTTAGCTATAATATGATTTTAGATGTGATGAATGTTTTTATTTGTTCATTTGTTTGTATAATGTAACTTCAAAAGTTCATGTGCACTTTAAAAATACACGAGCCAGAGGCTTGAGAAATACGACATTTTTTTTCAAACCATAAACCATATTTTGTTGCTTTGTTTGCTAGTGTAGTCCTGCCAATTCCAAACAAATAGCCTATTTAATGTAGCCATCAATGCAGCCTTCTTTTGTATTTTCTTTGGTATCTTCAGATGAACTTGTGTGTCTTTTGCTTTCACTGGATGAGATGAATTGACATAGGCCTATTTATTGCAGATATGTTTCATTTGGTTTTCGTTTTATAACTCCATAAATACATTTCCTGAATAATAAAAAAAAACTATAATTTTGCAATTCATTGTTATGTTAATTTGATTTTGGGGAATAAAAAGAAAAACGAAAATGTAATGTTTCTTGGTCTCTGTTGTTTCTACGCACCCTTTTTTCACTGAAATGCAGTTTTTTTTAAACCGTGAACCACAAACCTAAACGCGTTTGCTCCCACTTGTTTTTCCAGTATTAAATTAATTATTATGATAATAGTAATGGTAATGGTAATAACAAGTTGTCGTTGATACAAATCTAGTTTTTTAAAGACTTTTAGAGCGTGTTAAGAAATGAGCAGGCTGATGGCTTATAATAGCAACCAATAACGCAAGCATGATGTAATTATAATAAACCACTAATACAAGAAAGATAACACAAATTATAATTGACACAATCATAACAATAATGTAAGTTTAATAAATTGATGAATACGGAATCTTCTAATTGTATAAATTGCATCTATTGAACATAACGAATCCTGCTGTAACCTTCGTGAATGTTGTTTAAAGACGCAGCTTTAGTCCAGGACATAATGAACACGAATAATAAGGTTGCGGATTAAACGACCAACGCTGATGTAATATATCATTTTAAACCACACAAATGAGCCATTCTACCTAATTAAAGGAAACTTCAACACCTGATCTCTTCTTCTGTAATTCACGGTAACAGCGACATGAAACGTGTCCCACACGCGCTCGCTCGCCATATGTTGCCGGTGCACGCGCCCCCTGACCCACGGTGGACATAGTTTATAAACTGCGATGCTTGTGGCAACGTTGACGCAGATCCTCGTTGAACTCTACCTCGGGGCTGTTTTTCTTCTTCTTAATGTTCCTTTATTCAGTCTTCGCACTCGGCAAATACTTTCTTAACTTATTCATCTGAGCTGTTGCCATGAGCGTCCGTTTGGTTAATACCGCAGTGGGTAATGGGGAGCGTGCATTAATTTCACTCTATTGTTGGCGGGCTCGTGGGCCGAGGTGTTGGATGGCCTCAGTGAAGCACGCGCTGTCAGCTGGTGAGCGCTCGCGGGTCCCCACCGTGTCCCCAAGGACCTGACTCCAGAGGGGAACACACTTTCCCAAAGAAAGACCTGCACACACACACGCACGCGCGCGCACACACACACGCACACACACACACACACGTTATCCTTTCTTTCCTCCTCCCCGTCAACTAAACAAGTGGGCGCGTGTACGGGGACTTTGAACGCACCACGCTCACATGCCTCTGTCACGCTGTTTCGTTTCGGTCAAAGACTCCGAAATTATTAGTGAAACTTCCTGAAAGTAGCCCACCTGTTTGCTACCTGTCACTGCCTTGTCTCCCTCCCACTGTTTTTAGCCAATCACACGCCGTGCCCCTTTGGTCGCATCCCAAAGGCAGGGAATAAAGGGAAATATAATGAGGATACTGTGTTTAATTATTAACTGAATTTATGCAGGTGCTACATTTGAGTATGATCAGACGTCCATCTGCAGCGAGTTCGTGTTGCGGTGAAAGGAGATCGAGTTCCAGTAAACAGGTGAAAGGGTCCTGCGGGAGGATAACTTTTCTGTGTAGGAAGGAACACGTGATTCCGTTGTAGAAAAATACCATTTACAAACGCTCCTTGCAGCTGATCTTGTTTTATATTTCCAAAACAAGATGAAAGATACAAATGTGCATACTCTGCAGGGGGAAAAAAACTATTTTTAGAGTTCAGCAGAAATGTTTCTTTAAAATGAATCAAATATGAATGTTTTTCTGGGGTTGGCAAATTAAGTAAACAAGACTCCCAAATTCCCAAATTTTCTCCAACAGTACATGTGGCTTACTTTATCTCAGGGCTACAGGGTCTCCAAATTAAATAATTTGAGCTACATTTGGAGGATTTGTTTTGTACGGTCAATAATGGCCTCCAACAGGCGCGGGTTGTATGTCTAACAAGTTGTAGTTCTTATAGAAATTACAAAATTAAAAAAAACAGTGTTCCAAAATAGCAGTAGAATAATCAAAGTAACAATAGCGTGCATAAAAGAAGACAAGACACAGACAGTGCAGTGAAGTCATGGGTGCAATCTTTAGTCAGGAACAACACTGGACATGTTTTATGCCCCTGTGGTCATGCCCATTTCAATAAATACATTCAGAATATGTGCATTCCACCGCTTCCTTTTTTAAATGAAAAGAGAGGCGCTTGCATTTTGTATGAGATATGGGGAGCCGGGGCTGTGTGCTGTCCAAAAAGCCACGGGTCTCTCAGGGGACCCAGAACAAAAGGCAGAACTGGGCCATAGTCTCCATCTGCTGAGAGGGAGAGAGAGAGAGAGAGAGAGAGAGAGAGAGAGAGAGAGAGAGAGAGAGAGAGAGAGAGAGAGACAACTCCACGGGTACATTGAGCCAGAATAATAAGTGAGTGGGAGGGGAAAAGAGAGAGACGGGGCAACAGGGGACATACTTGTAGATGGATAGACAGACAAACATCGGTAGATATCTATAGATAGGTAGGTGGACAGAGAGTTAGATAGACAGATAGAAGGATAGATGGTAACGCAGACAGATATACAGTAGAGAGATGGACAGATAGATAAACGGACAGATCGATTATGGATCAGGGTTCTGTTGAGTTTCATTCATCAAACTATAAATTGGTCTATAGGAACTAAGGGAAGGAACAGAAAGAGAAGTTTATTTGTATAGTCAATTTCAACAAGGAACTAAGGCAACAACAAGGCAATTCAAAGTACTTTGAATAAAAAACATCAAAACATAAGGTAAAAGAAATGGAATTCCAAAAACAATTAAGAGCACTGATTGAAACATTAAATATAAGCAAGCTTAAAATAGAATACAGGTTGCAGCACAGTGGAATAAGCAGAGAAGAGATTTACCCTTAAACGTGGGAAAAGGCAGCAGCAAACAGGAAAGTCGTCAATCTTAATTTGATGCAGCTGAGATTCTCTGCAGATTTTTGGGAGTTTGTTCCCGATATGTGGAGCAGAACAACTGAACGCTCCTTCTCCATGTTGAGTTCTGACTCTGGGAAGAGAAAGAAGACCCGTCCCGGATGACCTCAGGGGTCGGGATGGTTGTTAAGGTAACAGCAGGTCAGACATGTATTTTGACCCTAAACCTAACAACCATATCCGTTTGTCTAATCGGATCCTTAAATGGAAAGTTATCTTTCTTGGTAATGTTGCTGCACTGAAATTCATGCGTATACAAGATCATTATGCCTTATGAATGTCGGTTTTATTTTGAAAGGGCTGCAATTCTGAGGGCTTTACATCTTCTAAAACGTCACTGTTAAACTATTTTGACAAAACGCATCCTGTGGTTTGATGACAAGCAGCCATGTCCACCTGCACATACACACGCTGACACAGTAACACACTGTAACAAAAAAGAAGATCATTTATCTCTGTGCTTCTCTCCATGAAAGACGTCTATGGGTGAAGCAGGGTCTCCCGGAGCTTTGTTCTCGGCAGGGTTTACCTCTTTGTGTCCGCCACCTTCAAAGCAAATGTACATGAACACGAACATGAGGCTTCTTGGGTAACCAGCCCATTGAAGAGCGGCACAATGGTGCCACCAATTATCCACAGTGCTCAATGCGCCGGCGGGGTCAGTTACATGGCTTTGTTTGTGTGTGTGAGTATGTTTCTTGGATTTGCATCTTTGAGGATGTAAAAGTTTGAGGGTACCTTCTGTACGTCCGGTACAGTTCCGATGATGCTATTCAACGAAAATGTGTGTGTCTATACCGTTGTTTGTGTGTTGGTGTGTGTCATCAAATATCTCTTTTGATGGGAAAAAACTCTTTTGTTTTGACTCTCTCCCCTGGCTCCTAAATGGTGGAACGAGCTCTCTGATGACATCAGGACCGCAGAACGCCCTCACATCCTCCGCCGCAAACCAGAGACACACCTTGCTAAAAAACACAAAACACATTGTAGCACTTTAATTGTACTTATAATGTCTCTTATCTTTAGCAAGCTTATTTGATGAAATTGTACTTGTTCATCTGGGTTTGTATCCCTGTCGCTGAAAGTCGCTTTGGATAAAAAAATGTCATGTAAAGTAATGATTTACCTTCTAGTTTGTTACAATCACTTCAGCGAATACGCGTGTCAGTTTGTGTGTGGTTTATTCAAACGTTCCAATAGGAAACACAAGACTATTCCCTTTTACTCAGTTTAACTCCCAGCAGGTTGGGGTTACCGAGTGCGTGCGGCCGGAGCAGAGACCTCCACCCTAAACTTACTCTGCACACAGGAAAACAAACCCCTGGAAGCTCCGGCAGTGGTTTGCCTAGATGTGCTCTCCCGTCTCCTTCGCACATCCGACCACGATAGGTGTGTGAGAGGGTGAGAGTGTAGCGGTGAGTTGTTCAAACAACTGTGCATGCCCCCACGTCTAAGCTTCAATCGTGTGCTGTGCTGTGCTGTACTGTGCTGTGCTGACTGTCACTCTGATGAGTAACCAGTGTCAATGTCTCCGGTGACACTGAGTTTATTTATGACAGTAATGCATTGAATTGGTTAATAATAATGATGAAAAGCATTTTTAACATTTTCAATGTAATACTCATTTTGCATGAGCGGGACCCTCAAGATGTCAAGGATCATAGCCGACAAACATTGCTAAACGCACTGAGCGTTAGAACAAGTGCACATGTACTGAGGGAGAGAACAGTGTTCACATTGATGCTCCGGCTCGGACGCTGGTGGTCAGGATGGATGTTGTATCAGTTGTATCCGTGGAATGAGAGCGAACAAGGACACACACAGAGGAAGAGTGACTTCATGCTCTGCCACTATACTTACTCCACCTACAGTTTGCAAATTGTGGTTGGCTGCTTTATTAATATTGAGGATATTAGAGGAGAGGAAAAGGAGTCAGCAAAGGAAGAGGAAGGGGAAGAAGGACAAGTTCATTAATTCCCATGAATTGGGATAAAGACAAAGAGTAAGGCTACTTTATTAACATAGGAACCAACTTGCTTTGAGGCCACACACCTACCCAAGCAAAGATTGTCGGTTCGGGCAAAAATAACAAGGAATTGTCAATACTGAAGTACACCAATTATGTGATAC